ATAATAATGAATATTTTTAAATTTGACTGTTTTCAAAGATAAAACATCACTTGCAAAATATTTGAGAAGAATAAAGTAATTTATTTAGATGGAATATTTATTCTTATATTGATAAATATTTACAGGACAATAACTATATAAACGAATGAAATTTCTGCCCCAAATTAATAATCAATTATTAGTATATTTTGTCATTTATGGGTCTTTTTGAATTTACATGATAAATAGAACATTTCCAAATCAAGTTAAGAATTATATTCTTTCATTTTTGTACACTTCTTATAGAATTATTCTATTAAAGTACAAGTCAAAAGATGTTAAATCTTTATCAATGGTGTCATTTTGTTTTCTTCTTTTTTTCTTTCTTTGTTTTTTTATTAAAAATAAATTAAAACCAAAACAATACAAATTTGTTTCAATTCAACACTATCATATGTCTACTAGCTTAATCCATATTAACTATACTCCTCTGTACTAATTATTGAAAATAATGCATTACATCACATTGAAATACGTTAAAACACATTAAATCACATTAAAATAAGTTAAAACGCATTATATCACATTATAACAAAAGATGCAAAAATCAGAATGTTAATTATTTTTTCTTGATATATCCTTCTCTTAATTATAAGTAATGAGCAAATGATATGTGTAAAGACATTTTTTTCTTTCCTTTCCTTCTCGTTCTTTTCTCATTCAATTTCTTACACATACGAGATAACCATTCATTTTCTTTTCGTTCTGTTCATTCAATATACATGACGGACGTTCATTATATATGTAAATAATTATCACAATTCCATAAGTGTAAAGACAGTTAATTTGAAATAATTCAATCATCAGTAGCAATAAGAGTTTTGTAAATTTTTTTCTTGAAGATAAACTACTGTAGGAAATTTTGCATTATTTTGCGTTTAGAAAACAATTTATATACATATATATGCAGCAAACGGAAAGAACAGATATTCATTCTATTTCTTTTTTAGATTTCAAAAAATTCTGATCTTTAAAGAAAAAAAACTACTTAAATTGAAGAATACTAAAGTTAAAAAAATATCTAACTTATAACAAAATTAAAAATTGAAAAAGGTGAAATTTATCTATTGATCTTTAATTAAAATAGCAAGTAAGTAATGTGAATTTCTAATCATTATTTTCAATATTTGCTTTTTTAGATTTTCTCTTGGGCTAATTAGTTCTACATTTATTACATTAAATTTGCTAATTCTTTTATTCTTTTGTCTATTAAATTTTTACTGGGAGTGAGTATTCAAATTTTTGTTATTGTTGACATAATGCTTTTACAATTAACCTTCAATTAAGCAATATATTGACAAATAAGCAGCTAGTAGATGTGCATCGAGTTGTGATTCAATTTTTTTATCGACATGTTATCTTATATGAATGATGAATTTAAATTTCCTATTTTTAGATATGCCATCGAGTAAACTTGATCCATATGCAGCACAAATCAGTACCAATATTTTCAAGCTGACGAATACAACACCAATTCCATTCGAAATCACATCAATTTTTAGTTCATTCGATCAAGTAGCATTACTTCGTTTTTTCGAACAACATCAAACATTAGGAGTTGATATTGCTCCATTCGTATTTGGTATGCTAGTACATGCAGCGGTAATGCTTGATGAAGTGGAACTTTACAATCCTGACCATACTGGCAGTATTACATCAATGAATTTATTTATTAATTTGATTGGTGAATCTGGTAAGTTTCTTTAATTTTTTTCATACGTTTCTTTAAATAAGTATTCTTTTATTTAGGCACCAATAAATCTGGATTATTTCGAGTCTTCAACAACAGCATCAATGCGTTACAAAAAATATTTCCTTCATTTTTTTCGAAGCCTGTTGTGGAGATTACTAATGAAAAAGAAATATTGACTACAAGTGATTTAATAGCAAACAATGAGACCGAATTATCATTATTTTAACGACTCTCGAAACGAGTAAGTTATTCATGTGAAAATTATTTTAGTATAGAATTGATCATGAAGCTCTTGAGATTTATTTTGTTAGAATTATTTCTATATGTGGTCGAAATATTCACTTTGTAGATGATATATATTTAAATTTTTTTATATTTTGATTTTAGGAGAATGTATTTATTTCAAGTGATGAACTTGATGTTATTAATACTCGATTTGGAGTTTATCAAGGTGGCTCAACGGACAATGATATGAAAACAATTGCTTCCAAACTTTTATGTCAAGGTTATGATATTATGAAGAATGTTTCTCGTACAGCTGGATCTTCATCATATTTTATTAAACGTGGCTCTATCAATATTTTTTTGGAGCTTCAACAGGAAACATGTTATCATCTGTATGTCGACAATATAACAGTAATACTACATCTGATGGTACCATCAGTCGATACTTATTTATCACAACATCTGTTCACAAAACTTCAAATGATATACCATCCGAAATTTTATCTGTACAACCAAACATCGTACATGTGTTAATTGTACTTCGTCTATTGGCACAATACAAGCCTATTTTTGTATTTGGTGAACATCAATCACCACCTAATTTACCAAAATTAAGTAAGTTTCTTTATTATTCGTGTGTATCTGATTGTTAAATGAGTGACATACAAGATTTTACTATAGATTTTGAGTAGTCTAAGGAAACCATTTGACATCCTTCTCATACTGCTATGCTAATTGATACATTGAGTTTCGATAGTGACGACTAATCATCCAATATGTAGCACATACTCACTATTTAATTTATCTGAAAAACATAGAATTTGGGATTGTTTTTCATGATGTTTTTATTTCGCATTCATATTTATACTTTTTTCTCTTTCTAGTTATTGTTCCACCAGATATTGAAGAAGCAAGAAAAAATATTTCGAATCCAATTTCACCAACTGAACCAATATCAAACTTGAAGCCAAAAGTGATTGTTAACATTAAAGAAGCTGATAAAGAACAAGATGGATCAATCATCTCTGCTTACAATGCTATTCGTCGTGTTATGGAAGCTGAACATCAAAAATCTTTACAATATGATGCCAAGGGAAGTCCAATTTATACACCTTTACAACGAGCATTTCAACGAAAGAGTAGCAACAAATTAGCTCGTTTAGCTGGATTATGTCAAGCAATATCATATGCCATTCAGTTATGTTCTGAATGTGTTAATATCGTTCGATTTGGTGATGGTCTTTATCTTAAAGAATATATTGATGATGAACAAATTAATTGGTTAATGAGATTTCATGATAATGTTAAAGTACTTATTGAACGAGATATTGCAATGGCTCCTAAATATGGAACTGATCAACGTCCATTAATTGTTATTGAAAAAGCAGCTGTACATGCTTCAAACATGTTATATCAATATAATTCATCTACAATTTCGGCTCTTTTCGATGGTACAGCAATTGATAATTATGAAACAACAAAAAATAACAATAACATTTCGATTAGCAATGGATTATCAAACAAGTAAGTTCCATCTAATTTAGGTTTTATAAATTGTAATACTAATAAAACGAGTAGTATGTTGCCGTAAACATTTCAAAAATTGTTTAAGAATATTGATAGGAACGTTTATTTCTTTACAGTTTAGTCTTTCTACGAAAACGCTTTTTT